TGCCACAGGTCGAAGAATCTGATCCCTGTAGCCCACACCAGTTAAGTTGCCCTGAACAATCACCAAAGGAGTTCTTTGGCGTGCTGTTATTCCACCCCAAATCATCACGGAACCACCACCACCAAAGCGATTCCTCTCCAAGACACAGGCCTGTGCATAACGTTCTCCCACGCGTCTATAGGCACGTTGACGTCCATCACTATGGGAAATGTTAAACCTGGACTCATCTGTAAAAACAACATTTCTCCACCAAAACAAGGGTCTGCGGACATGATTTCGGCACCACATTAGGCGAGCTTGTCGATGACGTTGTGTCAGGATAGGCCGTATGGCGGGACGTCGTGGTCTGATCCCGTGATGACGTAAACGATGTCGAACTGTGTTGGGGTGGATCCGGCGAAGTCCTGGGAAGGTTCGGGCAGTCATCACTGCAGTCTGAAACCTGTGGCGAAGATGGGTCACCCTTATCCATCTGTCCTGTCTTGGCGTTGTTACACGTGGACGTCCAGAACGTGGCCGATTGATGACGTCATTTGTGTTCTGGTAGCGTCTCACCAGTGCAAAAATGGTGTTCCGGTGGCAGTGGAAATGTGCAGCCACTTGTCGTTGAGACATTCCCCCACGGACCATCCCAATGGCCTCATGACGTTGTGCAGACGTGAGCCTTGGCATGCTATGCGTTTCAATAGCCGTTTAATTTTTTGAACGATCGCAAAGGCAGGGGTTGAGCTTTCCAAAGTAACAGTATTGTGTGGCATTCATTTGCTCTGTTTCTCTTTCCCGGAATGCACGTGCAACAACGTATTGCACGTCTCAAGGACGAACCCACTGACGTCACGGAACGTGGCACGTGCATGCATGTTGGATCCATGTCACTAATCTCTGAAATTCTTATGTGTCTACACAGGTTTGATAAATTTAAATTTTAAATTTGTGTATGCACAGTTTCTTTATGTGCCTAGTATATTTTGGCTGTTTATGTTTTGATTTATGATCAGCATTGTAATAAAACTACTTTAAATATTACTTTCCAAGGAACGGTTTTCCTAATGCAACCGGAGATCCACAATCACTGCTGCTGTCATATGTAATTGTAGAGGCTTGGATACAACAGAGTGTTTGAAGTGTAATCAAAGATTCCCATTTGGGGAATCGAACCCGGGTCTTTAGCGTGACGAGCGGACGCTTTAACCACTAAGCTACCCCATCGCCCAAGATTTGCATGTTAAATGAATTGTCATGATCTGGGTTTGTTTGTTATCATATTGAATGTGTATTTCAGGGTGTAAAAATACAACTATAAGCACACTTATTGATTACCAAGCATGGGCGGATCCAGGATTCTTGAAAGGGGTGTGTGTGTGTGTGTGTTTTCAGGGGTTCGAACCCCCTGAACCCCCATTGGCTCCGCCAACTCAAATTAAAATCTTCAATGTGGCGTTAAGTCATTTTCAAAGAGGGGGGGAAGAAGAGACTCGCCTCGCCCCCCCCCCCCTTCTCTCTCTCTCTCTCTCTCTCTCTCTCTTCTCTGGATCCGCCAATGCCAAGTCTTCAATAAACTGAATCACACCCGGAGCTGTGTTGTCATCTTTCTCAAGAGGTACACATAAAGCTGCTACACACATATTACTCACTTTGAAAAAATAAATCAAAGAACATTCGTAACATCTTGTATTGTAGGCCCTATTATCTTACCTGTGCTGGGAAGATGGGGTAGTTAAGCAATATTAAAACAAATCACGGCGGGGGACACCAGAAATGTACACACGTTGTACACATGGGGAGAATCGAACCCGGACCTTCATCGTGACGAGCGAACGCTTTAACCACTAGACTACCCCACCGCACCTAATGTTGTACCGTGACATGTGACAAGGGCAGAGCTTGATCACTTCACCTCCAGCAACGCGGTACGGGTTAGTCAGCAGAACGTTCGAATCTGGATGGTTGCAGTTCCACATTTGGAGTGTCTGTCTGGCCCAGTCCGAGTCACCTTGTAATGAAGAGAGGGATTGAGACGATGTATACCTCCGTGAGTACAGAACCTAGAGTTGCGTTAATCACGGTATGAATGAGCCTACCAGTGCATGAATGTGATGTGGATAGTTAGGCGTCACGGTCGTCCGACCACTCACTCGTTCTCCTAGAGGCCTAGTATACACAGGCCCTCGTGTCCTTGCTACCGTCACGAAATGCTTCACAGTCCAATACAAGGTCGGGGGGCATCTAAAAAAAATATAAAACATTTAATCGGTAATCTTCGCAAAGACACGAGGGCCTGTGCTTGGATACGGCAAGGTATAATGTCAGGACGTCTCAGGTGCGCGACACCCCCAAACACACACACACACACACACACACACACACACACACACCCCCCCTTGTCCTGAAAGTTTATTACATGACCATTGACACTCATGAAAACGGGTGAAAATGAACTGTGTCCGCCCCTGAATACGTCTAATGGCAATGGATTCGCTCCAACAATTTTCAATGGACAATGACACAAACTCTGACACTACAAATTGTCGTTGACCTAAGAGGCTATTGTTATGAGCACCGAGTTAAAGAAACTTCAGCAGTCACGACACGAAAGAATACTATTTCAGATATTTATGCATGCTGGTAAATGAAGGCATAATCCGAGGTCCGTACGTCAAAAGTTGTCCACGATGTGGAACAAAATATCGGATATGAAAATACTTGATTTTGTCTCATCACGCAGAAGGCGGTGGGGTAGCCTAGTGGTTAAAGCGTCCGCTCGTCACGCTAAAGACCCGGGTTCGATTCCCCAAATGGGTACAATGTGTGAAGCCCATTTCTGGTGACCCCGCCGTGATGTTGCTGGAATATTGCTAAAAGCGGCGTAAAACCAAACTCATACACTCACTAACATGCAAATCAAAGTATGTATAACACATATAGTATTCCCAGAAATGCTTGAGAAAGTTGTTTCGGCAAATATCTAATGCATGTATATAAATCATAGAAGTTTTACTTAAATGGATATGTTGAGATATGATTCTCTAACAGTCTACTAGAAAGTGTCTTTTCAGTACTTTGTGAGACCTCCTTGTCCTGCAATACACGACTGAATGCGCCAAGGTACACTACCGATCAAAGTTTGTATGAAATCGTGTGACAGCGTATCCCAATATTCGACCACTTCTTTCTCCATATCCGCAATATTACTAGGTCTATTTTTTGGTTTATTCTGTCCTTCACTTGTCCCCACACATTCTCAACAGGGTTAAGATCTGGGCTGTGGCTGGGCCATTCTGACGTCTCCCGGCGTGATATTTTTGTAATATTGCTAAAAGCAGCGTAAAACCATACTCAATCCCTCACTCTCTCATCATGCAGACCTTAGGGCACACCTTGCTTGTAGCACTCACTACACACAAAATACTCTACATTTGCTCATATTGAAGGAGAAAATTGTCTTTCTTTAGGTACGTACTGCAGATTGTCCCATTTGCATGCAATTTTAAACAAATATTAAAAAACTGTGAAAAATGGGGTTTGGAATTGTTTTTTTTGGTGAAATATTACATAATTTCACCTCATGAAAATTCGGGATAGAATTGATCTTCAGCAACCCAATCTTGTAAGAGACGGCTAACGGTATAGGGTGGTCAGGCTCGCTGACTTAGTTGGTGCATGACATCGTATGCTACCTGCGTAAATCGATGCTCATAATGTCAATCACTGGATTGTCTGGTCCAGACTCGATTATTCGTAGACGGCCTTCATACAGCTGGACAAATTGCTGAGAGCGGTGTTAAACAAACGGTAGATAATTTTAACGGGTTGACAGATGGCTATCTCGGGTACATTTTCAGACATTTTTTTCGGTTCTCAGGAACATTCACATCTGCTTCCACGGACCAGGGTTTAAGTTTTTTTCACTTAAAAAATCTCATTTTCCGATTCTCGTATCTGGTGTTTCCGTATCAACCAGTATCTTTTTGTATTTACTTGTATGTGGTGTAATAGTGGAAATTTGCTATGTCTGTATTTCGACTGGAGTAACTATGACTCTCTTAAGGTAGCCAAATGCCTCGTCATCTAATTATGAATGGATTAACGAGATTCCCACTGTCCCTATATTTTCCTGCATCGCTAGATCAAATGATACATTGAAGGATATTATTATAAGTGCTGATCTTATTTCTACAATAACGATAAATAAAACGATAGCAACTGATACAGACATGTGTTCTCTCGATTCTTTTTTTATTTCCGAATACCGAACTAAATCTTATCTCTGAGACTGAACTAAGAAGTGAACCATCTTTAGGTTTCAGTTGGGAGACCCGTGAAGATCCGGGTTAGAATTGATCTTCAGTAACCTATGCTTGTCATAAGAGGCGACTAACAGGTTCGGGTGGTCAGGCTCGTTGACTTGGTTGACACATGACATCGTATCCCAATTGAATAGATCGAAGCTCATGCTGTTGATAACTGGATTGTCTGGTCCAGACTCGATTATTTACAGACCGCCGCCATATAGCTGGAATACTGCAGGGTGCGGCGTAAAACTAAACTCACTACAGTTTGGATTTTGTTAATCGACTTTTCACGGATTATTAATGTTTCAATTTAATTTAACCGAAAAATGGAAGGATAATATAAATAGAATATTTCATGTGTCTAATGAAATGTGATGTATCTGCCATCAAGTGACAAGGAAATCTGACATCTTTTCACGTCACGAGATGACAGATATTTCACAATAGGTGTAGCGATCTGTAAGTAAATCCGACAAATTGGAAGGATAATATAAACATAATATTTCATGTGTCTAATGAAATCTGATGTATCTGCCATCGAGTGACGTGGAAATCTTTCATCTTTTCAGATATTTAACAATAGGTGTAGCGATCTGTAAGTGAATCGTACGCAAATCCGGTCACTGGAAGGATTCCCTCTTTATTATGTCTATTTCAAAACCGTAAAAGCAAGCTTTTTGTTCCGTGAATTGCCTTCGTTGTTGCAACTGGATTCGGTTCAATGAACGTGGGTCAACAATTTTGTGGGTACCTGTATCCTGATGATAGGATCATTTCAGCCGCGTCCTTGACAGGGTTGTTATGTGGGGAGAGAACAAGTGAGGGCGACATTGCGTGCTTCCCATGTCACAAAGTCCTGACAAAATGTTACAGTAAAGGTAAGTCCACACCCCATAACTTCTTTGAGTGGAATTTAGAAGTTGGTGTGATGAGCAACGAGGAGAGAGTTCTCTGCATAAACAGCTTCTTTAATATTAATATGTAACGTTCGGTACAGCTATTAACGCTTGGTTGATAACGGTGTTAGTAGCTGCACCGAAACGTCGCTCATATTAATATTAAAGAAGTTGTATATCCATATAACTCTCCTCGTTCTCCATGCCCCATATCTGTAGCTTCAAGTGACTTGACTTTGTGGGAGTTCGGTGGATCACTAACCTTCGTAACAAGACCGGAGCTTGTATATTCGTTAATGTTATTTATGGAGGTGGGTCCAGTGTTTTATTTTGAATCCTTTATTTCAGTGATGTAGTCATATCAGATGGGTTTATTAGATAAGAAACAATCACGGGTTAGTGAGGAATTTGTGTTCGGTTCTCTCGGTAGTATCCCCGTGATATCCCTGGTTTGTCTGGTCTAAATTACTGTCGTTTTAAACATATTTTATTGCCCAAAAGACAAATGGGATTGGGCACAAGTGCACCACTTATTCTCCTTGTCGTATATCCTCGTGTTATTAGTCTTCGGGCGCTTAAAACATCCCTAGTTTTCTCGATTATCGCATAAACAATTACAAAACATTAGGACACCAACGTTGTCAATATGTGTACACGGTCTGTTTAAAGCACACTTGGCAATGTGATATACAAAATATTACACAGGTTATGATCAAATCTGTTAACAGATATACTTTGACAGCACGTACCATATTTACTATAATTGGCGAGCATTGTTTTCAGGCTTTATTATGGTCAGACCTTAGGCCATCATGGATGGGATTATTTGCTTTGTAAACGGGATCAGTCACCTACTTTTAAACAAAAAACGGAATGATGAGAGGCCAAGTTAATTTCTTAAAAATTGAGTTTTATATTCAGCACATTTTATGGGAAATACGGTAACCTTGCCCCCCATTGGTAAACATGCTACCTATATAAACCGCAGGCGGTGTCGGGTATCGTTTTCTTTCATACATTTGTCATAAGCGGGGAGTACGGGAGGTCACGAGCTGAATGGGTGAATGGGCATTCCCGAGGCTTGTATGGGCTTTCACCGGTCAATCATTGAGATTCGAAACATATAGTGACGCCACTAACTTATCAAAGACAGCTTAAACACAAGCCAGTATTGACAATGGCCGTGTGAAGTAAACAGCATGAGTAAATACTGCCGTAAGAAAACAAAATTTAACCCAACGGTGCCCACCCTGCCCCGATATAAAGCATCGTAAAACCGGGTAAACCAGAATCATCAGATAACCTGAGAAGAACGTTATCCTCTTGAATTACATGCGTCACAGGGAAAAAGGCAGGCGGAGTAGGACATGAACAATAGCGGTTTGTACACATGATGTAACCTATGATAATTTTAAAAGCACAGGTTTGTAAGTACAGGACGTAAATAATACAATTTTTGCAATATTAGGGTATTTACAGAAATATTCAGATGCTAACGTCTAACGGTATCCACTTCCTGTGAGAAAGCGCTACTTGTCTCCAACATAAAGGTTATAAAATGAACATAACCTTCCTTCCTTACTGACTGACTGACTGAGTTTGGTTTTACGCCGCTTTTAGCAATATTCCAGCAACATCACGGCGGGGGACACCAGAAATGGGCTTCACACATTGTACCCGGGTCTTCGGCGTGACGAGCCAACGCTTTAACCATTAGGCTACCTCACACACACACACACACACACACACACCACACACACACACACACACACACACACACACACACACACACACACACACACACACACACACACACACACACACACTAGCCCACATGAGCTCCTTTTCAGTTTAAATGTGTTTATTTCTTACTATCAAAATTATATGTATTCAGAGGCTAAGCGTTAGTCTAGGGTACAATGTGTGAAGCACATTTCTGGTGACCCATGCCGTGACATTGCTTAAAGCAAACCTAACCTCACTCACTCACTTTTTCCTTATTGAAGGTGTACCATTTCGACGGAGAGTCTATGGTTACAGTTTCTAATTCGAGTTAGCCAGATTCGTAAACTAATCAGATATGCTTCCACGCATATGGCATCTAAAAATATCTTGTAGAAATGTACCCGTGAAGATCCGGGTTAGAATTGTTCTTTGGTAACACATGCTTCTTGTAAGAGGCGACTAACAGGATCGGGTGGTCAGGCTAGCTGACTGGGTTGACACATGTCATCGTATCCCGAACGTAGATTGATGCTCATGCTGTTGATCATTGGATTGTCTGATCCAGACTCGATTATTTACAGACCGCAGCCATATAGCTGGAATATTGCTGAGTGCGGCGTTAAACAACAACCTAACCAAACCTTGTACAAATGACACTTAGTAACTCTCCATCTTTGTAGAAATCGATTATCAAAACCATACTAACGTCAGTCTTTGAGAACTTGATCCCCGGGAACGTATAAGATTAACAAACGTGATTCAAGCAAGTAGTTTCTAAAATATTAAGTATTTTTGTAATAAGAGAAAGATTATTGCCTGGATGAGTACACTGTAATTTAAAAACGTTAAGCAACCGATAATATTTGACAGTTTACATTCAGATAAAAGATAAAAGTTTTATAAAATACTAAGGGGGATATCATACATCATAACGTCTGACTTTTTAGATAAATTAACAGAAATTCAAATGAATACGTTCTAACACAATAGCAGTTTCATTTCCCCACACTTCAGCGCCATGTAATAAATTAGGTTGCACTAGATTTTACGCATAAAGTTCAAGTTGACAAAAGACACCAAATACGACTCAAGACGTTGGAATTGGTCTGGAAGACTTTAATGGCTTTACAAAACGATCAGTACTAGAAATTTTGAACACTAAGAGAAGCTAATTGTTTTAGGGAGTACTTTGAACCATAAATGTACAACCTTCTTTAAAGGCACGGTTAGCGAAAAGTACCTTAGTATTATCAGTATTAATCTTAACCTTCTTCTGTTTATGATGTTGTTCAAATACTTTCAAACTTCATTACAGAGTTTGTACTGATTCGAAATTAAGTACAGTTTCATCACCATAAAGGACGACCAGTAATTTAGTTAACTTAAGACAGAGTTATCAGCATGATCGGTACCAATAATATTGTTATTTTACAAAACAATTGCGAGATTAATCAAATAAAGAGCAAAAAACAGTGGGGATAAATGTTTACCTTGTTGAACCCCAATGTTTAAATGACTTAATGTTTGCGCATGTTGTTAATAACATGAACATATTTACCCCTAACGTTCTGCAATGATCCGCAGTGCTAATCAGTATCAAATGCATTGGTAAAATCAATAAAAACACAGTATAGCTTCTTTGGTTAAGATACAATCAACCAGTGCTTAAAGATATAAATATTGTCAATAGCCAAGAGTCAAGTCAAAGTTTATTCTCATGAGTCATGACATAGAGTAAACCAATATACATATAAAAAAACAATGAAACACATATATATTATATTAACGGAGAGTACGCAGGCACCGTTTCGCAAAAAGAGCAAGTTTAACAAGTATTGGTTTGTATGTGATAGACATAAGTGCAATATATTTATCAACAGTGGGATGTTTACAATAATATGCAGAGAGATATTTGTTTCGTAATTCGTTTAGCACATTGCATTCTAACATAAAGTGAAATTCATCCCCAATTTTACTCTAACATGATGTACACAATCTATTTTCTTTATCAATTTTATGCCATCTACTTTCGACGGGGAGTCTATGGTTACAGGTTCTAAGTTTTGTGGTATAAATACGTAAATCTAGAGGAAGTTGCAACAAATAAGTTTCAATATAAAGACTATCCTTAAACATATTGTAGTATAGGCCTTTCGATGATGTAAGTAAATCAGTAGAACACGGATATAACGAACTCCAAGGGACCAAGAAATTTAGTTCGCTATATCCGTTGTTCGTTATTCACATTTGACCGCCATCTTGGATTGTAGAGATGTAGAGACATGTATATGCTGAGGCTACAAATCTTTATTCTTGTACATGTACATTGACATAACACTTAGTGTTCGGTGGAAGGAAGACCAGTTTGACGTGTGTCAGGTGTTTCACAACAGGATGGGCAGGACAATTGTCTACAAACATCAGGATCTTACGTTTTTGTCTCGTCATACTCTTTTCCAGGTTTTTTATCCACTCTGTGAATAATTCACCAGTCATCCAGGCCTTGGCATTTGATCTGTACGTTACTGGCAAACTGCGTACATTTTTGAAGCATCTAAGCTTTGCTGACTTCCCTGTGACTAACAACTTAAGTGTTTCACTCCCGGACATGTTTGCCGCTTGATGTATACCGCTAAGTGGGCGAGCTGACACTGAGCTGACACTGAGTGAGTTCGCTAATCACGTCGTTAATTTGGTCTTGGGGGTAGTAAATCAGTTCGCTATAGCCGTTAATTCGCTACTCACGAGTTCGTTATTCGCGTATAATTTTAATGATATTATAAAGGACTATTGACGGGACTTTTAAATTTGTTCGCTATATCCGTTTGTACGCTATATCCGTGTTCGCTATATCCATGTTTTACAGTAATCTTGACCCATTCCTGATAAACACACCGCCCATTTATATTGCAAGCGGGGTATTTTTTCTTTCAATCATGATACTGGTGTTATCTCAGCCATACAGCGACGAGACCAAGTCTGCATTCGTACACATCATACAAGTACAGAGTTTAAATTATTGTTTTTTCTTTTGAAAAAACATACTTATTCATTACATTATTATTTACAAACAGAAAGTGTCATAGCACCAAATTCAAAAACAAGTAATGCGTCATTCCAATTACTTAGTTACAATTTATGATACAGATCAATCTATCTCAAGTAGTTTATAATGAGATGCTCCATGACGCGACAATGCCCAAGGTAAACGCATAACACTTATTACCCCTTTTGACCTCAACGGGAAGCGAGGTGAG